TCTGATTTCGTATAGACAGTAAAGTTTAGTTTCAACCTCAGGAAGCTGCTAGTCACATGACCTAATCAAAATGGCCGACTTGCAGGCCGTGCTTGTAACAATAGGAACTATTGTTGGGAACCTTTGTTTAGACATTTTTAAGTGTGACACCACCTGGTTTCTGAGTTGTACCCTGCCAACGGGAATAATAATGAAAATGTGTCCGTTGCAGTGAAAGAGAACAAACGTTAACAGTGCTGTTGTTGTGTTATTGTGTTGTTGTGTTATTGTGTTGTTGTTTCATTGTGTTGTTGTTTTATTGTGTTTTTTGTTTTATTGTGTTGTTGTTTTATTGTGTTACTGTGTTGTTGTTTTATTGTGTTGTTGTTTTATTGTATTGTTGTGTTATTGTGTTGTTGTTTTATTGTGTTATTGTATTGTTGTGTTATTGTGTTGTCATTTTATCGTATTGTTGTGTTATTGTGTTATCGTATTGTTGTGTTATTGTGTTGTTGTGTGATTATGTTGTTGTGTCTTGAAGGAGCACCACCCTGGGGGAGTTTCTTTGTCCGGGTCAGAAGCTGCTGCTGGTCCTCATCCGCCATTTTGGATGACTGCCCTGACGAGACCATGTGGCCGAGCTGGCGGCCAATCAGGTGAGGGCTCAGTGAGGTGCTGTCATGTGACCTCGCGCTACCTTTCGGCTCTCAACTCAACTCAACTCAACTCAACTTTATTTAAAAAGCGCTTTCAGTCAGCCAAAGCTAAAATCAAAGCGCTGTACAGGCCATTTGAGCAGATCATAAAACCCAAATTATCACCACAACACAAGACAAACTCAAAGATGAAAAAACAGTAAGAGCAAAAAAAATGTATTACTATGCGATAAGTCAAGATTATTTTTGTGTAGTCTTCTTCCCCCTGTTATCAGGTGTATCTGATTGTGTATAATAGGATTTTGAGCAAAGTTTTTACCATTAAATGATGCAAAAGGTGTCAGACGCAAAACATGTCAGAAACCGTATGAATCAAATACGATACATTTGGCATTACAGGGTTAAATGTCTTTAAATCGAGATTAACATGAATCCAACAGACTGTAATAAACAAATAAATGGAGGCAGAACGCTCACATTCAGCCATAGGAGCTCTATCTATCTATCTATCTATCTATCTATCTATCTATCTATCTATCT